CGTCGCGTCGCGTCGCTTCGTGTCGAGTCTGTCATTCAATTAGTACGCTTAATTGAATTGTTGTTACAGCAAATCTGCTGTGCATAGCCCGTGGCAAAGTGGGCCACAATGGGGTCTAGGTGGAGTGGAGAGCCGGTGTGTGATGGCAAGTGTCGATGACGATGCCCTTTGCATTGCAGGAGCCGTTTCCGGTTACCAATGGCCGCCGATGGCTGCCGATGGCTGCCAATGGCGCCGCGTCAATCGCATTTATTTTGTAGCATACTTTCGAGCGCCAAACAAAAACTGCTCACCCAGACGAACAAAAAACGCATCCATAATGTTATTTAAACTAATTGAATTTAATGAAATTCAATTGTACTGTCGAACAGACGTCAGCTTCAGTTTTCAGAGCAAAAAATAAAAGCAGACCTATACATGTATGGAGGAGCAGGGAGTGCACATGTGCTTATTCAAGTGCCTTCTACAATTTGTGCGATAAAGTTGCCCCGTGTCAATATTGGGCCAGCGTGCCAGAGCTTTAATTAATTTCGTTTCGTTGGCCACCAAACTTTTAAAGTTTCCCCGAGTTTTTCGTTTGACTTAGAAAGAACTTTTCTTGCAGCACCAACTGGCCATACAAGAAGTTCAGCTGGCGGCCAAAAATGCAGCGGCCGACAAGCTGATCGTCATTGTCAGCGCCGAGAGCGAAAAGGTGAAGCGTGAACGCTTCATAGCCTCAGAGGAGGAGAAACGCGTGCGCATCATCGAGGAGGATGTCTCCATCAAGACCAAGCTCTGTGAGCAGGATCTGCGACAGGCTGAGCCCGCTCTGGTGGCCGCACAGGCAGCGCTCAATACCCTGAACAAGAACAACCTGACCGAGCTCAAGTCGTTCGGATCGCCGCCCAAGGGCGTGATCAATGTCTGCGCCGCTGTCATGGTGCTGCTGGCCACGAACGGCAAGATACCGCGCGATCGCAGCTGGAAGGCAGCCAAGCTGATGATGGTGCGCGTGGATCAGTTTCTCAGCGACTTGCTCAACTACAACAAGGACAACATACATCCGAATATAATCGAAACCCTGCAGGAATACCTAAAGGCAAGAGATGCGAGTTGGAATTCCACACCTCAATGACTTCCAAAATTGTTTTTCTTTCATAGGATCCCGAGTTTAATCCGGACAAAGTTGTGCAAAAGTCCGTGGCAGCTGCTGGGCTCTGTGCGTGGGTCATCAATCTGCATCGCTATCATCAGGTCTTTCTCATCGTGGGCCCCAAGCAGCAGGCCCTGCAGGATGCCCAGCAGGAGCTGTTCGAGGCGCGCGAACGGTTGCAGTACCTCAAGACGAAAATCAACAACTTGGAGGACAAGCTGGCCGACATTCAGGCGGAGTTCGAGCACGCTGTCGCCGAAAAGCAAAAGTGCCAACGGGAGGCGGACAAGACGTCCTTTACCATCGATCTGGCCCATAGGCTGGTCAATGGACTGGCCAATGAGAATGTCCGCTGGCGCGAGTCGGTGCAGAGGTGAGTCTGACCTGTGGACGGTGCTCGCCCATTTATGCGCCATCAATTATTAAATTTAATTTACATTTTGTGTGTGTCCGCAATCGCTTTAATTGCTTTCCCGCCTCCCTCCCATCCCCTCGTGGGGGGCTCAGTTGAACGAACTGTGCCAGCATTTCGCACACTTGCGGCCCACCGCAACAACAAAAGGCCGTAAATTGTATTTACTTGCGCTCATTTGGCCCACTGCAAGTGCCACTACCCATTCCCCAATCCCCATTCGCCACTCCCCATTCTCCACTTTCCACTTTCATCTGCCTGCTCGCAGCCTCTTCCCATCACTCGCCGCCTCCTGCTACCAATTGAACAAATTGCGCACTGTCGCAGCCAATGAACTGCCCGCCGTTTGTTCTGCCGACAGTAAATAAACTGCGTCAGCGTCAACTCTTCTGAGCTTTGCACTTGCACTCAGCACTCGCCCCCGGTAATGAGAAACAACCCAAAAAGCATTTAAAGCGCCGCACACATGCAATAAACCAGAGCTGGCGCTGCAACAAACATCCTCACTGACCTAGAGGCAATCTAAAGTCCGATACGGCCTGAAAGAACTTTAACAGGCAAAAGGCTGATGCGCAGCTACAATAACTATCATGAAGAGACATATTG